ATGGCCTCCCCTATCTCCCATCGTCTTACTAGTGCAGTTTGCAAGTGATGGAACCTCGTAAATCGACGTTTAATGTGGTTTTTTAGGACACAAACAGTCTCCCGCTAGTCAATATGGCTTTCGTAAGGGTCGTTCTACCTAACCCCTTACTACGCTTGGGTAAAGTATGTTCGTAATGCCCTTTGCGAATAACACTCAGTTTATTACCATATTTTTTTTTCCTGAGAAGGCTATGACACAAATTGGAGGTATAATATTTTGGGCCCCGGCCCCTTCCTTTGGCCCCCGAGGCAATCTACCGTCCTTTTTTAAGAACTTTTTAAATGACGACATTTCCCTGTTCGAGTCAATAATGTTCTTTCCCCGGATTCGTCCAAGCTGAAAGGGCCCCCAGGGGGTTTTCTAACACAAAAATTTTTCTCCTTGCTATAAATGATTTGGGCCCCTGTTTTTCCACCCAAATTTTTTCATCACTCTATGTTGATGACTTGCTATTGCTTTGGGAGGCGCTGACTGCATCTTATTGCAGTTTCTCTCCACATGCGGGCGACCCTGTTTTCCCCTTGGGCCACCACGTGGGTTTTTAAATTTTCAAGTACCAAACTCACCAAATTACTTCACTAACCTCTGTTATCTTTGATATCCTTTGTATCTCATGGCTCCCGTATCCCCCCAAAAGTGATACAGTCAGGTTTTTAGGCCTTTTCTTTGGGGCCGCGGTTTTTTCCTGGAAAATCACATAACCTCCTGAAGGCAACTTTCACAGCCGCTAAACTTTTTAAAACCCGCTCATCTTTCCCCGGGGGGCTGATCGCGAACTCTGCTTCCCTAATTCAGCCCTCGTTTTTTTCAAAACTCGATTATGGTGACCAGATTTTTTCCCCAGCCTCTCCTGCACTTCCTCAGCCTTAACTCTATCCTCACAAGGTTCTTTGTGCCTTGGTGCTTTTCGCTCTTCCCCTGTTGAAGCCTCTTCAGAAGCAATGTTCCCTCCCTTTTCTGATCGCCGGATGCCCATTGCCTTCGCTACTATGTACCTCTCACACTACACAACCTTCCATTTATAAATGGTACCCAAATTTAACATTTTTATTCGTTCGCCCACCCCCGTTTTTCCCACCCTTTTTTCTTCGCCTACATTCACTCTTGTCTTCCCCAGACCACCTTTATTTTCAAAAAGCATCTCACTTTTCCTACCCCCCCCCGGGAAATTCCAGCTTTCGGGTCTGTTCTTTCTCCTCCCTTGCTCGAAAGCTCAAATCCTACGGGGGCTTCCCCCCTCTTTTTTCTTGTCACTTCCACTCCCCTTCTCATGCCACCGCTGTGTACACAGATGGCTCTAAATCTTCAGACGGCCGGTTTTGCAGCATGTTTTTCCCGACAGCGCGTCGGGGACATTTACTATCTTCACTAGCATTTTTACTGCTGAACTGTAGCCATTCTTTTCAGCATTATTCATATCGATCTTCCTGTGTCTCATTTGTATATCCAGACCCCTTAGTGCTTACAGGCATTCGAAAATTTGATAAATCTATCCCCTAGTTTTCCGTATCCAAAATTTTTGGCTAGCCATTTTCCAAAAATAAAGATATTTTTTTTTTTGGGGCCCCGGTCAGTCGACGTACGGCAAAGAACAGGCAGCACTGCTGCGTGGTCAGCAGTACATACCCACCAATTTTCCCATCGAGGTTTCCTTTTTGGACTATTTTGCTCAATAGTACCCACCTTCCCACCCCCGTGGCAAAAACGTTGGTCAAATTGCTCGGAAAAAAACTTCATTCTATTAAACCGAGCATAGGTTACGGCCCTCTTCTGTCATTATGCCAGGTTTTGGGAACCACTCTGTCCCGCCTTTGCATTGGTCACACTGTCTTACCAGGGTATTCCCTGGAGAGGCAACCCGTTCCCTCTGTGAGCGTGTCAAGTTCCTACGATTAAACCAATTTTTGTTTAGACTCCCTTCTATCAACGAGCATCGATTTTCCCCCCAAAGCGTCTTCGTTCTACACTCTCTCTTTACCCTTCCTTCCCCGGATGGACCCCCCTTTAAACCGACCTCTCATTGACTTCTTGACAACGACTGATTTACTCCACAAACCGGATGATACTTTTCGCACTCCCCTCAGCCCTTTCATTCATCTTTGCTGCCCTTACCCCTTTCACCATCCATGCCCCGCTGTTATCCCCTAACCCATTACTCATCCTTCCCTTTTTTACCTGATGCCCTCGCTTCCTTTCCCGGGCCCTGCACGCTTATGTCCTTGTGGGTTAGCGCTTCTTTTTGATTATAATAAAATAAAAATTTAAAAAATTGAAATTTGGGAAATTTCCCCGACATAAAGATATCTCACAGAGAAGTAAACAAACAGGGGGTTACCCTATTTGAAAAACCCCTTGGCATAAGCAAAATTTTTGGGCCCAATTTGAAATTGCTGTATTAGTGGAACATCACAAAACAGGGCCCTACTGTATTTGTGTTTGACTTGAAAAGGGGCCCCACCTATTGCTTTGAGGAGTGTAAAAAGTTACCCCGTTACTCACGAACTAATAGCAAGGCATGGATTACTTGAGATTATACCTTGGAATGTTTAAGGAAACATTTGATATCCAAGGCCAGGGTTTGAGGCTCATTGCAACAGAGTGGGTGCCCTAAAAAATTGCATTATGCTGGTGCATGACAATGCATCTGCCATCCCCTCTTGAAATTTGTAGATTAATGCTAGGTATAGGTTGGTAGACAGCAACTGCCCAGGGAGGTACTACCGTCCTGCCAAGTGAGTGTAACACGAAAGCCTGTAATTGTTTTACATGATGGTAGGATTGCTGGTGTCCTTTTTTCTGTCTCATGAACATGCAAAATTTCAGGTACGTCTTGCTACTTCTACTTACACTCAGGTCACACTACACATACATGTACAAGCGTATATATACATACCCCTCTGGGTTTTCTTCGATTTTCTTTCTAGTTCTTGTTCTTGTTTATTTCCTCTTATCTCCATGGGGAAGTGGAACAGAATTCTTCCTCCGTAAGCCATGCATGTTGTAAGAGGCGACTAAAATGCCGGGAGCAAGGGGCTAGTAACCCCTTCTCCTGTATATATTACTAAATTTGAAAGGAGAAACTTTGTTTTTTTCTTTTGGGCCACCCTGCCTCGGTGGGATACGGCCGGTGTGTTGAAAGAAAGAAAGAAGTAATGCCTTTTATCATTTATGCCACTGTATTGCTCATCTCTGATCCAAGCTTTGGATTAAAGTGTTATTAGCAGTTTAAAGCATAGATAATGTGACAGTAGCTAAAGAATTGATAACGATGAAGATAGTGGGACTGAGAAATTCAACAAAGAATTCATCATTAAAAATGCGTTAACACTACACAATCCTGGGACAACATTCCTGCTGCATCTTTGAAAAATGCTTGGAATAAAATATGGCCTGCTAGTAGGTTTCATTAACAGTTCAGACAATGATGTTATGGCTGAATTAATGAATCATGTCATTGATATGCAGGAAATTATTCCTGGTATGTCTGATAGATATCTTGTACTGGGTTGAATGTGACATCAGTTTTACTGTGTATGAAAACATAAACAAATAACCCACACATAGGAGAAAAACTTATGATGACGTTGTCATAAATTTCTTTTTCCTGTGTGTGTTATTTGTGTATTGTTCCAGTCAAGGTATTGTCTCTTTGTTTTTTATGAAACCATTAGTGACAAAGGCATACTTCTAAGCCCAGATGCATGTTCAAGAGTAATTGTAATGACAGTGATGAGAAACTTGTTGAAAGTACACTGTATGATCCATATATAGGGGTATCAGAAAGCATATCTTAATCTCAGAGTGGTTAATAAGTGGAATGACTGACAAAGTGGTGGAGGCAGACTCCATACATAATTTTAAGAATAGGCGTAATAGGGTCCACAAGGCTAGGAGAGTGAAAATCTGACAAGCAGGAAGTTAAGAGGAATGGACAGGCGGTAAAACACATCCCCTGCAACCCCATATAGGTGAGTACGGCTCCTGAACATTTGGGCCGACAAACATTTGAATGAATGGACATTTCACCAAGTGGATATGTGGCCGAACTGGCATTCATCATCTAACCTAACCTAATTATCCATTCGGCCAGATGGCTGTTAGTGCAATATCCATTTGGTCAATTGTCCTTTGGTTAACTGTCTGTCGACCAAGTGTTTGTCGATCATCTGTCCAGCCATTGTGAGAACAGGTTTGGTGCATGTTTTTTAAATATAAAATAATAGCTGAAATTAAGAATTCATTTTTCAGTAAGTAACAAATTCACTGGTAACACATGATTAAAGGGAAATGTGTATCTAGCAGAGGTTGCATCAGTATATGAAACAGACTGCACTGACTTAATTAAGAAAGCACTAGCACAGGTGCCTGTAGTGGTTTTGATGAACTTAATTCTCAGTTCACTCCCATCTACTTACTCTACCCCAACACTGTGCCATACCTTGCATTACACATTGTTGGAATTTTTCTAATTCTATGATAGCTATGTATTGGTGAGATAAGAAATGTATATAATAAAGAGCAAAAAAAAAAAAAATGAAAATACAAAGGATAAAAAGGTCAGCTAGTGTCATTGAATGAATACTTTGGGTGTTTTTAAAAGGAGTTAAGACAGGTACTAACTCAACATAGTTTCTGTCATTCTTATCTAGGGAGATGGCAACAAGAGCAGATGCAGCCGTGCCAGTAAACTCCTGCTTAGATCCATCAGTGTATATAATTTGTGATAAGCGAGAAATTTCTTTTGGAGCTATTGCCTTTGCAAGTGATTTAGAGAAGAGATTACTAGTGATGAGCTTCTAGGGAGGAAAGAGAGAAAGAACACCTTGCAAATCTGCAAATTTGCTCTTCCATTAATATGTTACATATTTTGTTGCCAAACATTCTGTAAAAAATCCTAATTATAGCTTGTAAACTGAAATGGCTGGAAAAAATTTATGTTTGAAAAATTTTTCTTGCAGGTAATCTAAAGGGGTACTTGAGACCAGAGACAGCTCAGGGAATTTTTGTCAATTTTAAACGGTTGCTGGAATATAATCAGGGAAAGCTACCTTTTGCTTGTGCACAAGTAAGTGGATATATGCCCTAAATAAGCCTTAGCCAAGTTTAATGTTCTGTAATTAGCTGTTTAAGTTGGTAGGGAGTAGAGGTTGAGCTCTAGCTCTTTTATATTTGTTGGAACCCTTGTATGGAATTCCTTCTGCTGTATTTTTTGGTTAGCTTGTTTTACTTCTTTACTATGAAATTGAGGAAATTTCATCCTGATGTCTGTGATTCAGTTGGGTGTTCATTTTCCAATAACTTTCCCTCCTTGATCATATTCATGTATGTATGTTATGTATGTCATTTGTGTGCTTATGATTTTATGTTGTAAACATGTCTGCATGTTTGTTTGAATGTGTAAATATTTATCAATCAGTGGCAATTGCAGTGAAATCTGTTGTGATTTGAGTCCCATTAAGAGATGTTTTAGTTTTAATTTTTCCATAAAGTTTGCAGATTTTTCTGTAGACACCATTACGTAGACCACAAACTATTGTTAACTAGAGCAGTTGAGGAAGAGCTTATTTTACCTGATTGGCTCTTACGAGTATATAATTTTTCTACAACAGTTACTCTGACATAATGGAAATACAGACTCAGATGAAACTATAATGTGATCCTTTATTGACAATGTTTTGCCCATGCAGTGGCTTCTTAAGTCACTTGAAAGTGCTTTTATCATGGGGGAAAAGCTGCTAATAAAGGATTGCATTGTACTGCATTTGTGTCTTTTATCTACCATGTTGGTTTTTTTATTACTTTCTCTACTCTGTCTAAGTTGGTTCTACACCAAAAGTATAGGATTCATTCTTGAAGGTTTGCTTTACAGTACAGGAACACCACAGTTGATCTGATATTGTTGGGGCCTAAAGCCTTTTGTAGTAGGCAGGTTTTACAGAGAAAGGCAACAAAAAAAAATTAGGAAGATTACAAATATCATAGTCTTGCTAGTATCAGGTCTTTCATCTACTTTTTCTAAAGATAGAGCCCTTTCCATGTTGGTAAGTTTGGGGTCTTTATTGCTGTCCTGGACGCATAAGCTATGATTTAACTTGTCAAGGTTTCCCTGTACATTTTCCATGCAGATGACCCACATATGAACTCTTTACACTTACCGGGAAATTGAGTTTGCTGCTGTTTTTGTGGTAAAACATTTCTTTGGTGAGTAGATAGAGATTTGGTGTTGACCATAGCTGAAAATTGATGACATGCATTGCCTCCATTTAATCTACGAGTTATATACTATTTTGGTTTTGACTCAAATATTTGCAGTCCACACTTGCAGGTTTTAGATTTGGGTTCAGGGTCTGCTTTTGTAAAGTGAGAAGTTTGGGTATCATAGAGTGATTATGGTTGTGCTTGGCCTGCTGGTAGTATGCAGTAGAATGTATTTGGCCAGTCAAACATTTACTGGGGATTGCTCACCATTTTGGTCCAAGGCTGTTTATATATCTCTAGTGGTTACATGCATATACATTTCTATTAGCCCTGGGCTTATTGGTGTACGGGTGTTGGGCCCCAAAGGGTTTGGGTGGTGGTGAGGAAGATGTTATATTCTTGTAAATGTTCCATTGCACTCATACCGGGGACTTGTTGGGTGGTGACAAGGGTACGAGTCACTTTATTTTGGATGTTCCGTGACATCTGCCCATTGAAGAACTGTAGACTCTGGTTGATTCAGTCTGTATACTAACTTGCTCTCCTTCGATGTTTCTCCTCATTTTCCCACTCCAAGTTTCCCCCAATGACTTTTTTCCCCCACGAGGAAATATGGATGAAAATTCAGCTAATTGGTTTTCTTAAAGCCCTTCATGTGTGTTTCCTTGCTCCACACTCAAAAATTAAGTAATTTCAAAAAAAGCATCTTTTTTTACTCTGAATTAACACATTGAATGCTGAAGCCTTTAACCTTCAAAACCTCCTTTAAGCCTCTCCAGCTCTTAGTATATCCTGACACTACTTTCCATCCACCTCAGACTTATTTAACCTTATTAAACCTATCTTGTTCTGTCCTTCCTAAGAGATAATATCTCAACAGTACCACCTTTGTTTACTGAGTTACACAGTCTTGTAAATTTCTCACTTACTCACTTATTACACTTACACTATGTTCACCCACACACTGATCTCAAATATGGCACAGCGCCTCAAGCCTCTTGACAGCAGCATTCAGTGACCATGCACCACTGTATTCTAATACTGTACATTATATTTCTTTTTTTTTGCATCCATTGCCCAAACTTTTTTTCCACAGACTCCTCAGCACCAAACTATATCCTTTTCCTTGTTAGTTCTACAATTCATCTTGTCATTCACAAACAGATCTGCTGACACATCCACCCAGATTAATCAAAACACTAGCTTTTCTCCCTCATGTATGGTATTTATCTCTGGCTTGTTTTAATGTCTGGTAAGTGTGAGTTGTCACACTTATATAAATTGCAAAGTATCCCATTTTTTCATTGCTTTCCAGCCCCATTTCTTTTAATTAATAAATAAAACACTTAAAAAAATATCAACAATTACCTCATTTAACAGGTGGCAATGCGTATCGTAATGAAATTTTTCACCGCGTTCTGGTCTTCTCAGGGTAAGAGAATTTACAATGGCCGAGATTGAACACTTCTGTGATCCTGACGACAAGACCCACAACAAGTTTGATCAGGTCAGTAATACTCACAAAAATTATGATACATATATTGAAGCAGGCTTAGTCTTTTGGTGTTTATTATGTCTGTATTTTAACTTTGCTTTTATAACATTGGAAAAAACCAAAAATTTGTTTGCTGAGGTAAAAGTGCATGTTTTAGTCTAATTCACATACTGTATGCTGGTTTTGAATTGGAAATTAAAACTTTCCTAAACTTGTAAGAATTTTTAGTTGGTGAAAAATTTCAATGAATTTTTCACTTATTTGAGTACTTCTGACCACAAATAAACAGAATGCACAAATGACAGCTATGGATTTACACAATGTGCTTGAAAAGCACAGCAAGAATTTCAGGGGGGGAGGAGTTTAAATTTTCAGTATTTTATTCTAAGGAGCTTAAATAGCCTTTAAAGTTTAGGCATGTGTTTTTTTGAGCTTGAAATGTGAACTTTCTTTAAACTATTGTAGTTTTGTGGTCACTAGTCAATATAATATAGGAAGATTATCCATTTATTGAAAAAAAAAATTAAAAATTATTTGCAACGGGGATTTAGCCCCCATCCCTCGCCATGGCTGTGACACTGGTGCTTGTTTATTTTAATGAATAATGGTAGAGGAATTACAGATCACTTTTTTTTTAAATGTTTTAAATGATATATTTTGAGGATTTCTTATGAGCTGGCAATAAGTCAGTAACTTTTTTATTCATCATTGTGCTTGATTTTGTAATAAAATAGCCTAATTTTTTTTTATAAATTTTTCTGACATGCGGGGTCAATTCTCACTTCAGATTTGGAATCTGCATCCCCAAATTTGCAGTCAAAAAAAATTTTTTTATTGCCCAGTGTAATCACTGAATATAGTCAACTTTTTTTTTTTTTTTTTTTTAAACAAGTCAGCCATCTCCCACCGAGGCAGGGTGACCCAAAAAGAAAGAAAATCTCCAAAAAGAAAATACTTTCATCATCATTCAACACTTTCACCTCACTCACACATAATCACTGTTTTTGCAGAGGTGCCCAGAATACAATATTTTTAAGAAGCATATTATTTATTTATTTATTTATTTATGTCTTTGCAAACAGTACATTGAATTTTGTATTACAATAGTGGGTGCAATGCAAAGAGAGCCTCTATTATGCCTAGGCATTATGGGCCAATTTAAACATTATTGGCTTACAGACTACTTAATACTAAGGATTTTATCCTAGTTGTACAGTAGGACAGTAATTTTTTTCATAGTTGAACAGTAGGTTATTAATTATAAGTGAATTAAATTTGTATAAGACAAAGGATATATTCATATAGTCTAAAAAGCTTATTGGTGAAAAACAGTGGTTCAATTTTATTCCTGTCAACAATGGATAAGAGGTTCAAAGTGATTGTTGAAGTTATGATGTGGGAGTACATAGGTGAGTATGTGTGTATTGAATATTTAGCATTTAGTCTAGGGTGATTAAGTGGCTTTGAAAGAGTCTTAAACTGATTTTCAGACTGGGTTACTTTAATATATTTCCCGGTAATGAATTCCATATTTTAGGCCCTTTATGTGCATAGAGTTTTTACATAGTGTGATACGTTTTATAAAGATACACAACATATCCCCCAAAAATGCCAATATCCTGAAACCCCCCCTTTAGAGGCAGGCATTGTACGCTCCATTTCCAGGACTAGTCCAGCTATATAAAAATAACCGGTTTCCCTGAATCCCTTCACTAAATATTACCCTGCTCACACTCCAACAGCTCGTCAGGTCTCAAATACCATTTATCTCCATTCACTCCTATTGAATACGTTCATGCACGCCTGCTGGAAGTCCAGCCCCCCACCCACAGAAAACCTCCCTTACCCCTTCCTTCCAACCTTTTCGAGGACGACCCCTAACCCGCCTTCCTTCCCCTACATATATGTAAATTGTATTTGACCCACCTGGCTAAAAGCAGCAAAGAGTGATTTTTTTAATTTGTTGATATTTGCATCAAGACGAACATTTTACATTGAGGTTAGTCATTAATGATAGTAGCAGTAGACATAGAGGGGTTATAATAGTCATGGCACAGTTGCTGGTAACCAGAAGTAGAACTACTGCTACACACAGCCTGTGAGTGACAGTGGAGTAACAAATAGTTTAAGATAGAAAGAATGCGATTAAGTAGAGGTAGTTGTAGCCCATGTTTTCCATCCACTTGCACCTCTCCTGTAAATTCCATGCCATTTTTTTTCCCAAAATGGTATAGTATATTTTTTCCCCGTTTTCATTCAGGCAGTGACCAAAAGAAATGAAGGGTGTGGAGAGAGCTTTTACTTTTCTGTCTTGACTTGCACATCTAGATAATACACAGTAGTCCTTAGACCAGGTAGAAATAGCTAGTTCTCAGTACATAGCCTTGGTATGGGCTTCCAAGTCCTCTGCTGTAAAGTCTTCCCATATACAGAGCCTGAAACTATTTTTCATATAAGTTATTGATTTTCCAATAAAGAATTTGTTATTGGTTTTCTCTGACAAGCTTTATTAAAAAAATCAGTCATACATCAATCAAAAGTAAGCCCTTTTTTATATAGATTGCATCATTTGGTAGATTTCAAGTAACAAAATAGTAGGCAAGGGCTCTGTGGTATAGTAGTTTCTTTTTCATAAATTAATTTCAGGGTAACTTCAGTTTTTAGGTTTCATTTAGAAGTATTTTTTATTGGTTTAAAATTTCAGTGTTAAAATGAATCTTGTCTGTTATTAAGTTTTCTGAGACTGCTAAAACTTTCTTTTTTTCAACACATCGGCCGTATCCCACCAAGGCAGGGTGGCCCAAAAGGAAAAACGAAAGTTTCTCCTTTTACATTTAGTAATATATACAGGAGAAGAGGTTACTAGCCCCTTGCTCCCCGGCATTTTAGTCCCCCTCTTACAACACGCATGGCTTACGGAAGGAAAAATTCTATTCCACTTCCCCATGGGGATAAAGGAAATTTAAACAAGAATAAGAACTAGAAAGAAAATAGAAGAAAACCCAGAGGGATGTGTGTATATATATATATATATATATATATATGCCTGTACATGTATGTGTAGTGTGACCTACGTGTAAGTAGAAGTAGCAAGACGTACCTGAAACCCCTTTCATATTTATGAGACAGAAAAATGGACACCAGCAATCCTACCATCATGTAAAACAATTACAGGCTTTCGTTTTACATTCACTTGGCAGGACTGCTAAAAAATATTTACCAATATTCTTTCTTTGTTTGATAATTTCTGTGCCACCTCTCGCATATTTAATTGTCACATGTTGCTTGGTTTCATCAGTTTTTATTTTTTCCTAAAGGTTGCCAACACAGAAATGATGTTGTATTCAGCATGTGCACAGATGGATGGGGAATCCCCCAAGGAAAATGACGATCAGTGAAGCGTTCGTGGAGTAAGGTGTGTGAATAGTATGGTTGAACATCTTAAAACCCGTAACATTTAATTTCATGTAAATATGTTCATGCAATTAAGTATTTGAATTTGCAGGGAATGAGCTCTAGCTCTTCGTATCACCTTTTTAACTTTTGATTGACTGGTGTGAAATAGTTATAACTTTGTAACCTGTGTGTTGTCTACCTTACTGTCATTGTTTAGGTCATTCTGTTTATTTACTTATGTGTAAGTGGTATTTTCTGGTGTACCTGTTGTTCATTTACATGTGAAATTTCCAACCATATCTGTTACATCCCTGTTAATCCTTTCAGTGGCTGTCACATGGAACTATGTCATGAGGCCAGGGTCTTTGACATTGTTCTAAGTCATGAGCTCAGCTCACTCAGATATGCTGCAAGCAGTAAATTTTGGCATAGATGTAAGAGATTGGGTCTGTGTGATGAGTGTTTCAGTCTTAAAAAAAAAAAAACCTGATGTACGTGGTGCATGATTGGAAAAGCATGTTTTTGTTTAAAATATCAATTTTGAGTGTTTTCTTGGATTGTTTTATGGGCTGTTTCTTTGGGATCATTTGATGGAAGGAAGGCAACTACTGAAATAGAGATGATTTGGTTGAGCTCAGAGTAGTGGAAATATTCTATTTTTTTCCAATTTTTTCCCGAGGACAGGTAAGGCCCCGCTACACCCCCTGGTCTATTTTATGGGATTGTTTTAATAAGACTCGTTCAATTATTGGGACACACCATCAACCATGACAAATCATTCCTTGTTATATTTATTATCCGAGAAAGAGTAAATCTTCTATATTGTATGATTATGAATTCAAAAAGGAAGGCAAGTGTAAAAATAGGAAAGGGCCAGGAGATGTTAATTAATGAACAGAGGAAATGTTGTATACCAAGAATGACTGCATTGTTTATTTTTTACTCTATTTTAAATTTGGTATTTTTTTAATTTTGTGTAAAATTGGCTAAATTAAACCCACTGTGCATTTATAGGGTAGTTGAATGGGGGATCTCTTTTGCTCAGTCAATAGATTAGAAGGCATACTAGTGACATAGCTAAGAGTTTGGTTGATGGGAACAGTGGGAAATTTGGGTGAAAATGGGACACAAACTTGTCAAAATCGCCTAGGTAAAATTATGTTGAGAACGCAAACTTTGTGCCTATGCAGTTCCATAAGTTGTTCAATCTAATTTCATACATTTGGTGTCATTACCTTCAAAAAAGGTTTCTAACCATTTCAGATTTTTTTTTTTTTTTGTGAAGTGGGCAACACAAGAAATATTAATTTTAGGGATCTGGACAGCAAAAAGGTCTAGACCCCCTTCTAAATTTGTCCCCGAGGGTTCAAGAATTTTCAAAAA